AAAATTGTACGTGAACGTTCATTGCAGCTTTCTTCCTAACAGCCCAAACCTAGAAACAATCCAGATGTCCTTCAATGGTTAAACTGTGGTACATCCACACCATGGAATACTACTCAGCAATAATAAGGAGCAAACTATTGATACACTCAATGACTTTGATGAATCTCAAGGGAATTATGCTAAGTGGAAAAGGCCAATTTCAAAAGGCTATATACTGTATGATTCCATTCCATGTTTTACAACATTCTTGAAAGAGTGTTAATTATTTAGGGTTTAGGGAGTGGAGAGAACAGGGGCTATAAAGAGGTAGCACAAGGCAGTCTTGTGACAGAATTGTTCTCTATTTTGATTGTGGTAGTAGTTCTACATGTTACATATGTGACAGAATTGTATAGAATTATACACACAAACACATACACAAATGAGTACATGCATAACTAGTGAAATATAAATAAGCTCTGTGGTGAACAAATGTCAGTTTCATGGTTTGGATATTGTAATATAATCATGCAAGATGCTAACATTGTAGGAGGACCAGTGAAGGATATATGAGACCTCCCTGAGCATTTTTTGCAACTTCCTATGAATCTATAATGAAAAACAAAAAAGCAAGTGTACAAACAGAACACCATTTATAAACCTGAGTATATAAACCACCAGATGATAATATTTTCTTGCACCATTGGAAGTTACTTTAAATGTACTTCTATTACTGATTAAAAATCATATGGTGTTTCTTGCAGAATCAGCCTTGTGAGAGACCCTTGGTCAAATTCCTCTTTGTAGATTGAAGCCTCCTATAATTTTCCATATACATGAAAAAACTTCCCTTTCATTTTAGGGGGAAAAAAATCAAATTTTGAGTGTTAACTCATGTTTTAAGAAAATCACAAAAGATGTGTGCATCTTTCTCAAAAAGACGGATTTCACAACACTGCAATTATATATAACAACTGCAAAGTTTTTGTGAGAAATCTTTGTTGAAAAATTGTACCAAATTTTTTGGTCTTTTTTGTCTTTTAATATTACTTCTGGAAAATAAGAGATGAATCATGCCTTAGGTGAAATAATAGAGATATGTTTGTCATTATTGCCAATCATTTCTGCTCCAGGATAGATTTTTTTAAAAAGGACCAGAATATCTTCAACAGTTGAGGGCAAAATCCTCTGTATCCATCCCTAATTATGGGATGAGGAGAGTAGAGAAGAAGAGGGATAGCACAAGCAGGAGGCTAAGATCAATCTGGGCAATATTTGCATGTTGCGTTATATTGTTTAGCCAGAAAAGAAAAGGACAGCAGAATAACTATTTGACTGACAGGTATTTTGGCCTCTTAGGGTCCTAAAACTTCTGCCTAGTTACTTATTTTAAAAGAACCAAAATTAGGCCTTGTCTAGAAGAGGCCAATTTTGGCAACCAATTTCAGATAAAAAGTTTGGTAGGGACCGACAGACAGCATCCTAAGTGTGTGTTACAAAATAGAGCCAGTTCGAAAGATTAGGAAAGCCAGAGCAAAACGGATCCAAGTGAGAGAAGAGACAGGTCGTGAGAAGCGGCTGAGGATACCATTTAGCTCAGAAGAGGAGGAAATACAGCGAGAAGAGTAGAGAACCCACAATGTGCAGCACTTGGCTTCCTTGGCATTTCCAATGAGGGGCACAGCAAATGTCAAGAAACCATTACCGACATTAAGTTCCTAGGCAATCAGGCATAGAGCAGTGCTTCTGGCAATGCAGGTCCTGTTGCATATAATAAAATACATGAATGACCGGCCACAGTATAGCTAAGCTAGGAAAAGGAAATTGAGAAAAGCACGTAGGCTGGGCAAAGACAAGATTTCATGAGACTCTGAAACAAAATTGCAACTGACAACTGTATACGCTGCAGGTTGACATCAGCAGCAAACAGAAAAATTTATTGTTCTGTAATTAGATATGGGGTAGTATTTTTGAACATAAGTACTAGGTTGACCAGGAATCTAAGAAATCATGTTATAAACCATGACCAATTGTGACAAAAGAATTTTAACATGCCTGAGTATAGACAGGAGTTTTGAACAAAATTTTTTCCATTTTACACCTGCATATGTAGTCGATGATATAACCAGTAAGTGGTTAATATTTTTAAGTAACAATCAGAACAAAAGATTCAATAAAGAGTTAATCCTTACCTATAAAGTAGTGATTTTATTGAAAGATGATAAATATATAAATATCAATGAAATAAAACAGTATTCTGTGATAATCTGACATTATTTATAGAATTTAGAAAGGGAACATATTTATTCCCCACCCCATGTAACTTAGAACATTCTACTCTAGCTATACAACTATTTTTTAATACATTATTGGTGATGAAAAGAACAGGGCAAAGAAAAACTAAATGAAGTCACTAGTTACACAACAGGGAAAATAAGCCTGATAGGGTCCAAGAAGGACCTGGATGAAACAAAGCTATATACTATGTCATAACGTCTCTCACTAGATGTGGGAAAACAATAGAGGATGACATCAGAGTGAGAGAGGTTCAAAAGCGATATGAATATTTATGGAAGTATATATTAAAAAAGCATTTAACTATCATAATTTTAAGAATTTTAAAAAGTTACATTCCATATGTAAATCCTTCTGAAGAGCAGTTAGTTCATAAAGGTCAACATATGGGAGACACACTATATCTACATATCAGTTTATATATCCTCCCCCAATTTATGAATATCTGACACACAAATGTCCTTTGCTATACCACACATCGAGGAAGGCAAGCTCTCCTAGAAGCTCAAGAAAATAAGAAAGTTCTCTTCCTGGAGAGCCAAGAGAAGATGATGTTCCAGGTGCCACTGCATTCCTTGGCACAGCAGAGAGTAACTACCAACAGAAAAATCCATTTTAAGTGATGAATTGTGCATAATTAAGTCTGCTTCAAGTGTGCACCATTCCCATTTGTAACATAATTTACATGATGAAAACCACCGTGAGCTCATAAAGCTGATTTAAAAAATAAGTCTTGACATATAAGCCGTATATTCTGTATATACATAATCTGTATATCTGAGATACAATCTGCTCGTTTATACTCCTTTTTCCTGGTGTCATCTGGATTTTATTCTAAATGCACTGGACACTGGATTTTAAGTAAAGAAGCAAGTGATGTGATATACATTTTAAAGAGATCACCCTGGCTATTGTGGTGGGAAAGGAATGGAGGCTAAGAGACAAAGAGCTATGACAACTAGGAGGCTTTTGCAGTAGTACAGCCAAGAGATGATAGTGGACTGGACTAGGATAGTGGCTGTAGAAAAAGAAATAAAGGGAGTAAGAAACAGGACTTCGTGATATTAGATGTGGTCATTAGAAAGAGAGAGAAGCATCAAGAAGAGACCCACTAAATTTTTGGCTTGGGTATCTGGATAAGTGGAGGTACTATTTACTGAGGGGAAAAACAAGAGAAGGAATAACCTTTGTTTTTGGGGGGTGAGTTGGGTCAAGGGAAGACCAAGATTTTTATTTTAGACACCCAAGAAGATATGTCAAGTAGGTGATTGTTGACTATATTTACCAGGAGTGGTCAGGCCCAGAGATATAAATTTGGGAGATACTGGCACTAGAACGAATGTCAAGTAAGCAGGGACTCTGGAGGTTTTTGTTTTGTTGTTGTTTTTAGCAGCATGCCTAAAAGAGTGCCTGGAACAGTATTTGGGAAGTAGCAGGGGTTCAATAAACCCCTCTGAATGAGTGAATAAATGAATGGGCATAAAGATGGTACTTAAAGTTATAGGACAGTATGAGATTACCTAGCAAGGGATTGTAGATAGAACTCTTTAAGGTTAAAAAATATACATATAGATAGATAGAGAGAGAGAGAGGGAGAGGGAAAGGGAGAGGGAGAGGGAGAGGGAGACGTGGCAGGGGAAAAAGGCAAGTTTCAGCAAAGGAGACTGAGGAATAATGGCAGTGACACAGCATGAAAAGCAGGAGGCTGTTCTATCAAAGACATCAATATAAAAGAGTGTTTCAAGGAGAGAGTGGTTACTTGCGTCAAATGCTGCTGAGGTTATGTAAGATGAGGACAAAGAAGTGATAACAATGTCACTGATGGCTGTGACAAGGGCTAGGGCATATAATCCATTCTCACAGGAAGGAAGGTAGTATGGGTACAGATACAAGTAGGTTGATAGATTTTGTTGTGGGAATATGAGGAAGTTCCCCCGATGGCCTCTATTTTCTCAAAGAATTATGAAACAAGTGTCAGCCAAGGGTGAATATTCAATAAATGCTCTGATGGAAATGAACAAGTTGTCATGGGACCACAGAGGAGGCGCAACTAACCCAGTGTTGAGGGGAGTGTAAAACAGGTTTAAAGGATGAAGAGGAACTAATAAGGAGAGAGTAGGCAGGAAGAATAGAAAGAATATCCTAGACATATGCAATATCCCAGAGGCAAAGGAGAAAAGGCATGTTCAGGAAACTAAAAGGCAAGGCCTAAGAGGTCCAGGTAGGGACTGGTAAGAGATGAGGCTACAGAGAGAAGCAGGTACCAAAAATCAAGAAAAGCCTTGTATGCAATGCTAAGGAGACTGAAATTTGTCATGAGGATAATCAGAAGCAGCCACTGAAAAATGTAATATATATGTATTTTATTTTGGTGGGCTTCACATCAGTTTGAGGAAAATATTTGTGATTTTTAATATATAAGTATATTTAATATAAGATTAGGCTATTTTTATACTTAATACTTAAAACTGGAGAGGCAGTACAGCTTAATGGTTAAGAGTATAAAATCTAGAGCCAGAATGCCAGGGTTCAAACTCCAGCTATGCCACTTAGCAGTTGTGTGACCATGCTAAGTTATTTAACCTGTGTTTCAGTTTCCTTATTTTTGAATGGAGGTTTTAATAGTAAGGAAATAAATAACAGGACCTTCTCAGAGGGCTCTTAATACATTAGTTAATATGATCTTCTATAAATGTTAGCTATCACTATTTAAGATACAATTTTACCTGCTTTTTAATGGCATAATTTTCACCATCTTCGGCCTTCATTTTTTCAATCTTTTCTTCTTGTTGTTTTGCTTCTTTTTCATACATCATTTTTTCTTTGACTAATCTATAAATAAACAAAAAATGTTTGGAGAATTAACTTTCTCTCTAGCAAAGAGACCACAAGAAACAAAGAATCTATGTAAATGTTAAACATATTTAAAATACCAAAGTATATGTACTAGATGGGAAGAGGGGAAGAAAAATCCTTTAGTCATAGATAAGTATGATCATCATGCCCTTAATCCTATACCTGCCTAAAGCAAGGGCAATCTATCAAAAGCATGAAATTCTTAGATTTTTAATTAAAAACACATTCCATTATAATAATTGTATTTACAATGTAAAAACAACACCAACATTTCTGTCCTGTTTTTTTATTGGTATATGTTTTCCAAACCTTTATACATGTACTTGAAACATATTGAAATAACATAATGGTAAAAACTCAGCTTACTGGAAAAAAAAAATCAGTATATTGCATGCCAAATACAAAATGAAAAAAGATTAGATTATTTTCAACAACAAAATTATTATAATAAGTATTTACTGTGCACTTAATTTTTGTCTGACCTTCCTTGCGTGAGGGATTGCAAAAGATAATTTAGACACGGTTCTCTCATAGACTAGTAGTGGAAACAAACAACTATTTCTTTACTAAAGCAAGAAAAGGCATTGATAAAGATCAGGAAGGTTTTCAACAATACCAAACAGAGCAATACGAAGTTCTACTGATTATTCCTCAGACAACCAAAATTCAATTAACCATAACAGCTCAATCTCCCCTAATTCTGTTAATCAAAGTTTCAATACAAAAGAAAAGTGCAGTCCAGGAAAACCCTAACATTTCTATACACGTATCTAAAGAACAGAAGAAAAAGCTTTCACAGTCCCTACAAATTAAAAGCAGCGTTCTCCATATGGCTGGCTTGCTTACTTCTAGACCTATGTTGCTGGGATGGAATTTAAAAACCATATTACAGCATGGGTTTTCTCTAATCATTTGCAATGAAGATTTTTAAATGTATTCAAAACATGATTTAATTTTCATATTCTAATAGGACTTAATATAAGTCCATAAATATCAAAAAAAAAAAAAAAAAACAAAAACTTTTGTCAACTACCTGGGAGGCTTTTAAGTCAGATTTTAAGTAGGGATTAAATCACCACATAAACTACACACTTAATATTAAAATACTGAAACATTCCAGTTTGGAATTTTGAAGTGTGCAAGCAAGGCCCATCTTGTCCTTCATGATCTTGTGTTACTGACATAGATGGAAGGAAATACAACAAAAAGTTAATAGTATTTACAGTAGAATATTATGTGACCTTCATACACTCATCCTGAAATACCACACTCATCCTGAAATACCTCCAAGTGAAAAAAACCAAAGTACAAAATAGATGTAAATTTTATGTTGCCATGAACATAACAACAACAAATGATACTCAAGAAACAAATCACAAAGCACACCTGGGAAACCACCTTTTGTGGTCACCTGAGGAGGAGGCCCTAATGATTTGGGGTAGGAGAGGTCAGCTGGGAGGTAAACAGGAAGGCTTTCATTTTATGCCTTTCCATAAAGTTTGAGGACTTTTTTTCCCATGTGTAAGTATTACTTTTATCAAAAAAGTTAGATGCTAATGATTATCTCTGAGTGGCACAACTTTAAATGATTTTAAAGTTTGCTAGTTATTCCTTTAGTTATATTTTCTAAGTTTTCTGGAATAAAGCAAAATTCATTTAGAAGGATACTAAAATATACCTAATGGTTGTAATTCTCAAACATTGCTCTCCTTTGCAACATCTGCAAATGCTATTAGTTAAAATAACAAGTACAAACATAAAGTCATAATTTATTATATTTTAAAGGCATAATTAACTGAAAATACTTTCCATTAGTCTTACAAACCCACGCTTACAGAGAAACATAGCAACTTCAAAATCTAGTCACTTTTAGTAGTTAGACAAATAAATATATAAGATGAAAATAAAGAAATAAGAGCAACAGAAAAGGATAGACATAAGAAGGAGAAATTTTCAGAAATGACAACCATCAGGGTAATAATCAAGTGATAACTTAAACTACTTAACTGTATATGTATGACATAATGTGATTTTAAAAATGTAGGCCAGTGTTTTCCAAACTATTCTATGGTACACTAGTGGTCAAATAAGCTTAAAAAACACTGCTTGGCAAATCTTAAAGATTTACAGTATGTATTTGCATAATAAAACACTGAGAAGTCTTGTAATAAGGAAATCAGTTTAACTTTGTTCAAATGCAAGCTTAGTTGAGGCAAAAAAGGACCCCTCTCGCCCCTGCCAGCATTCTCTAGAACAGCTGCCCCCAACACAAGTTTGAGAAGTACATTGTAAAAATCTGTAAACTTTACACAAATTTGTATACAACACATTTAAGCATACTGTTTATAAAATTCTAAATAGAATAAAAGTTTTGGGTAAATCAAGAATTTAGAGACCCTGGGATAAAAAAGTTATAGCTTAATTTGTAATCTTGATTTCACAGTTTTTCTTACTGTAAGTAAGATTTTCATAGTTATAACCAAACCTGTACTTAAGGCCATCTAATAACTACAGCTCAACACCAAGCCATGCTAAGGATACAGATAGGCCAATGCAATTAATGATGGTAAGAAACTAAAACATTATGGATATTTTCAAACAAAAAATGTAGAGAAAAGAGCATAATAAATCCCATCACCTAGGCTTAACAATTGTTAATATTTTGGCAGTCTTGTTTCATGTATCTCCTGCCATTTATTTATGTATTTATTTATTAGTATTTTCAGACATTGTATCTTTGGCTTGAATTTTGAGGTTAAAAGCCTGTGATTTCTTACACCCTCCCCACCTCATACCATATGCAAAAATTAACTCAAAATGGATCAAAGATCCAAAAAACTAAAATTATAAAACTCCTGGAAGAAAACATATGGGTAAATCTTGGTGACCTTGTACTCGGCAATGACTTTTTAGATATGACATCAAAAGCACAAGAAACAGAAAAAAATAAAAAAAGATAAATTGACCTTCATCAAAATTAAAAACTTCTCTGCTTCAAAGGACACTATCAGGAAACTGAAAAGACAACTACAGAATGGGAGAAAATATTTGCAAATCATTTATAGGCTAAGGAACTTGTGTCCAGAAAATATGAAGTCTTACAACTCCATAATAAAAAGACAAATACCCCAATTAAAAAATGGGCAAAGCTGAATAGACACTTCTCCAAAGATATACAAATGTTCAAAAAGCACATGAAAAGATGCTCAACATCATTAGACATCAGGGAAATGCAAATCAAAACCACAGTGAGATATCACTTTACACCCATTAGGATGTCTCTAATCACAAAGTCAGATATAACAAGTGTTGTTGACAAGGATGTGGAAAAACTGAAACCATCAAACACCGCTGGTGAGAAGGTAAATTAGTGCAGCTGCTTTGTAAGTTTGGCTATTCCTCAAAAAGTTAAACACAGTTACCATATATCCCAGTAATTCCATTCCTAAGTATATACCCAAGAGAAATGAAGACATATGTCCACATAAAAACTTGTACATGAATGTTCATAGCAGCATTATTCATAACAGGTGAAATGTGGAAACTCTAAAGTCCACCAACTGAAGAATGGACAGACAAGATATGGTATACCCATACAAAGGAATAGTATTTGGCAATAAAAGAAAATGAAGTACTGACTCATGCTACAACATGGATGAACCTTGAAAACATTATGCTAAGTGAAAGAAGCCAGACATGAAAGGCCACATATTCTATGAATCTATTTAAGGATATATCCAGAATATGCAAATCTATAGAGAATAAAGAAAGTTGATTAGTGGTTGCCTAGGACAGGATGGGGAAATGGGAGGGTAATAGCTAAAGTGTTTGGGGTTTCTTTTTGGGGTGATGAAAATGTTCTAAAAATGATTGTGGTGACAGTTGCACAATTCTGTGACTATACTAAAAATAAATGAATTGCAGACATTAAATGGTTAATTTGCATGGTATGTGAATTATATCTTAATAAGGCTGTTAACAAAAAGAAAAAAAAAAGCTAACTGACCACACAGTCAGCTACAGGGGAAAAGTGCAAGTACTGGATACGTCCAAATCCGGATTTATGACAGCCTATCACGTGAACAGCATGTATAGAAATCTGCATTTGACTTATAATTTAAAACTGCTTTAACAATAATTTTCAGTATTAAGATGAAAATATTTATCCTCTGAGATTTAAAATTTCAAAATAAAATCATTAATGCATATCACTACAGATATTTCTCTAAAAGGTCCTTTTAAACAGTAAAAGAAACTTGCTAGGACAGAGATGGCAAGTTGCCGGCCTGCCTAAATAAGACCTAAAGATGGTTTTACTTGATTCACAATGTTAAAAAGAAAGAATAAAAAAGCAGAAACAGACTTGTTACCACATTAAACAACTGAGAAATTTAACACATAAGTCTGGATTTCCGGCCTTTCTTGGATGTTTTTCATCAGGAACATTGGGGCTGCACTTCCACTACTGGATGGAGCTAAACAGTGGCTGTTGACTGTTTTAGATGAGGCATGTGCTGTTCGCTTTGCCCCGACTCACACAACTCCCTGTCTCCCAAATACTCAGGCCTAACACTTGGCCCCTGTAAACAACTGAGTTTGGAATCCATGTGCTGGAGTAACTTGCATATCATCAATGCAACAGTGTTATTACTGTGGTTTTTATTATCTTTATAGAATCATGACTATTATTCAGAATATCAGGGATACTCAGAAACCAGTGGGATTAGCATTGAGACTTTCAATATTCCTAAAGCTGGTAGGTTGCTCAACTCCCCTAGTAAATAAAAGCTGCGATTGGACAGGCTATCAGAAAGAGGCACATTCAATAATATCCTGTAATTCAAAGACTTAGAACAAGGGCTGGCAAACTATGGCCTGTAAGCCAAATTTGGCCTGCAATTTGTTTTTATACGGTCTGAGAGCCACAAATGGTTTTCATGTTTTTAAATGGTTAAAAAAATTAAAAAATAATATTTTGTGACATGTGAAATCATA